CTAAAAGGAGTCGTTGAAATATAGGAGTAAAGATTTAGACCACCGACAAATTATGATGAACGCTGTTGATATATGATCACAAATTGTAGATCAATAACTCCTCGTTATACTATATGAGCTATTTTCTTATTGCATTTTTTCGGAAATTAGGTAAAAGAATGGTGAACAAATATGTTCCAAAATTGATAGAATAACATGGTCTCTCTCTCTCTCTCTCTCTGATTATCAACAACAACTACATTGTATTTAGAGATGTGCAGGATCAATTTTTTTTTCTAGTAGTTTCACCAACGGTCCTGGACCAGCTCTAGAGAAAGTTATTCCATAATATCTCTTACATTATGTTCTCATCGGTATTATTTATAGGATAATTCGTTTGAAACCATAGAATGTTTAACAATAGTTTTTAGTTCTGATTTAGCTAACAGTTATGTGTTTTTTTTTTATTGTTTAGTTTTGATTGTAAAGTTCGTCGTGAATCAACAAATCTTCAAGATATGTTTATAGCACATATTGGTGCTATGGATTGTTTTGCTTTAGCATTACGTAAAATGGCTCGTTTATTTGAAGATAAAAAATATGATGATTTAGTTAAACAACGATATGCATCATATAATCAGACAGATATTGGTAAAAAAATTGAAGCTGGAACAGCAACATTTGAAGAACTACATGCATTTATTAAGAAAAATGGTGAACCAAAGAAAACATCTGGTGAACAAGAAAAATATGAAGTTATTTTTAATCGATACTTAGACTGATATGCATGAAAAATTCAGTTGTTTTTTTCTTTCAAAGAAAAACAAATACAAAAAAGTTCACAATTAAGATTTTTGTTTTATAAACCATGCTTTATTTTATTAGGTTAAACTAATCTATTGTATATTTACTATAGATATAGTATAACAGGGAGAATAATATTCTTAAAAAACAAAGATTAGCAAAAACCCAGTGAGTAATTTCGAAGTGTTGATACAAATAACAAGCACATAGTTAGAATATGAGAGTCAAAAGAAAACGATGAATGGCGGAATGATTAGTAAATCGAAACTAATGTCTTATAATGAATGTCATTTTTTACTTTGGTGTTGAAAGTAAAAATATCTATCAATAATTCATGTTTCTATATCGACATCTGCGATGTAAACTTAAGCACATTGAAACTGCTATGGTTCTGCATGTAACTGTACCTTGAATTCTGATTGCAAGTGAGTAGACATCTCGTACTAGCTACCACCAAGTAAATACACTTTTCATTAGATGTTATTCAGTTAATTTAGTATTATATACTTACTATGTACTGCAGGTCTTTCGGACTTCCTGAAGTTAATTTTGCTGCAATAGAATCAAAAACATACTTTTAATCTACTAAAAACTAATGACTAATGAAACATGCAATTCTGGTTCTAGATTTTTCCGACACTTTTATTTGAATTGACTATTTGATAGGACATGTCATCATGCACCTTCGATCTAGACCTATTTAAAGTAACTTGTGTAATAAATATGTATCTTTTAGATCGATTAGATTTTCAATAGATAATACAATCTTACATACATTGGTTATTAAACTTATACATGGAACGTTTGGTTCTAAACATAATTTATAGATAGTCTTCAACGTTGAATTCTCATAAGAGGGTCTTGATAATTTTCACGAGAACGTTTTCAGATGCTAAATCATTTCTTGCTTGGGACTACATTCCTTCGATTGAGTACTGGTGTGCGTTGAGAAAATCTAGAATGATTTGGTCTTTCAGACCTTTGTTCTGCTAATATCAAACTTTTACTAAATTTATCTACTCTAAATGGAACTGATTCATTCGAAAAGTTCTAGTTTTCTTCGTTGCTCCTCTCATGAGATAAACACATAAGAAATATAATTTGATTTTAAATACAACAGAGTTTTCGATAGGCGTGTCTCAAATCAGAAGCGACGAAAAAAGTTAAAACTTCCAGAATGATTTAGTTCTATTGAAATTCTTAGTTGTCTAAAGTTACAAGTCAAAAGTCAACGTTCAACGTAACTTCAGGAGAACTATGGGATTTGGTTGAAAAGTTCAGTAAAAACTCTATTTTTTAGAAACTTGACGAATAACAGAAGCTAGATTAGCACAGATAATCAGCATCAAGTATGAAGTATCCTTACACAATATATCGAGTAATTAGCTACAGTAATTGTAGGAACTGCTTTTGACCACCTTTTTCAGTCCACTATGCGAAGCAACATTGAGGATCAGCAAACTCTTCGAAAGCTTTGTCATGCATTGTACAAAATGCTGATAGAACTCGGTTGAAAGTGTACTTTTTCTCTAGTGCCATCCATCAAAAATATCATCATTCGATAGAAAATTGAATTCTTCATCCGTCACAAATCAATTAGAGAGTTATCAGAAGTCCAGCAGCGAGTGTAAGAAAGAAAACTCAAATTCACTGCTAACTTTTCTTACGTCATCTATATCTGATATTCTATGTTTATAAGATGGTGGTTATATGAATACACCAATAGATTGTTTTTCCTGTTCTACATATGTTTAATAAAGGAGGGTGTCGTTCTTCTGTAGGTATATCAAACATAAACTTACTTAGTTTCATTTTAAACAAATAATTCGAAAGATAGTGTTTTCTTTCTTTTCTTTTGTTTTCAGATGAGTCTTTGGTGTGATAAATATCGTCCAAAAACATTTGATGAACTTGATTATCAATTAGAACAAGCAAATTTATTACAAACCATTGTAGCTAGTGGTGATTTTCCACATTTTTTAATATTTGGTCCAAGTGGTTCTGGTAAAAAAACTCGTATAACATGTTTACTTCATGCATTATATGGTGATGGTGTTCAATCATTACGTATTGAAAATCATGAATATGAAACACCATCAAAAAAGAAAATTGAAATAACAACAATTGGTAGTAATTTTCATATACAAGTCAATCCAAGGTTTGTTAAACGAAGAAACTATTTAAAATAAAAACAATAAGTATACGAGATTTAATGATACCAAATTTGTTTGTTTTCCTTGTTAACAGTAGTCGAAAAATCTTGTCAAAAAATTTTAGTAGAATTCGCACTTCATCTTTTTTCAACGAGAAAAAACATTTGAAAGAATGTTTCAACGAAAGTTTACTTATTTTGTAGTCAAGATATTGTAGAATATTATAACTTCTCAGCGAAAAGGTTGAAATATGAAGTTTTTTTTTTTATTATAGTGTATCCTAATATTTTTGTGTGCAGTGTATGATCAATTTTTTGAGTGATGACAAAGTAAATACATGACACAGAGGTGCTGATATCTTCCATAGAGTAGTGTCACATATCCAAAATTTTGGAGATGCGCCCAAATCTCTCGCAGGAGATGCCGCATCTCCCGCGGAAGACGCGGAATCTTCTTCAGGAGACGCGGTCATTTTCCACTGGAGACGTATCATCTCCTTTAGCGATGCACATCCCCCGCACCCACACTCACATCTCTTGCAGTAAATGCCGCATCTCCCGCGCTAGACGTGAATGCATCTCCAAAATTTTGGATATGTGACACTGCTGTCATTATCTGTATTAAATCGCTGATGTATTCACTCCTATGCTTTTATATATACGTAATAGCAGATTGAAAAAGTGCATTTTAGAAGAATACTATATATGTATATTTTTTTCTTAAGTGATGTTGGAATTTATGATCGTGTTGTTATTCAAGAATTAATTAAAACAATTGCACAAACTAGACAAATTAATAGTACAGAACAACGTTCATTTAAAGGTGAAAGATTTTTTTGTTTTTTTTAAGTTTTATTTCATAAAATGTATTAATGTTTTTTTTTTTCTTTTGTTTATAGTTATTGTTATTGTTGAAGTTGATAAATTAACACGTGAAGCTCAACATGGTCTTCGTCGTACAATGGAAAAATATGTTAGTTCATGTCGACTGATTCTTTGTTGTAATTCAACATCACGTGTTATACCTGCTATTCGAAGTCGATGTTTAGCTATTCGTGTAGCTGCACCAACTATAGATGAAGTATGTTAATAAAAAAATGTACAATATTTTATTTTATTTTAACTTAAAAATTCGAAATAGATTAGTACAATTTTAAAAAAAGTTGCAACTATGGAAGGTATTCAATTACCAGTTGATTTAGCACATCGTATTGGTGAAAAAAGTCAACGAAATCTTCGTCGAGCATTACTTATGCTTCAATCATGTGTTACACAAAAGTTAGATTTATATTCAAAAATTTCAAAATAATTTATGTATGTTTCTTTTTTTCTATAGAGTTCCATTAACTAAAGATCAACAAATAATTGAACCTGATTGGGAAATATATTTACGTGATACAGCTCGAATGATTGGTGAACAACAAACACCTCAACGGTAATCATTAAGTATTTATTTATTTATTTTCATTTAAAAATTTTTGTTTTTATAGAATTTTAGAAGCACGTGAACGTCTTTATGAACTTATTGCACATTGTATTCCAGCAGAAGTTATATTTAAAGTGAATAGTTTTAGTTTAGTTTAGTTTATTTAAAAAAAAATAATAATTTCTTTTTTCAAAGGGTTTACTTAATGAATTATTAGCTAATTGTGATGATTTATTAAAATCTCAAATAACTCAAATAGCAGCTGAATATGAACATCGTCTTCGACAAGGTTCAAAAGAAATCTTTCATCTTGAAGCATTTATAGCTAAATTTATGTGTATTTATAAACAACATATGCAATCAATGGCTGCTGGTCTTGATGATTGCTTCGATTGATAAATAAATATATATGTCAGTTTTTCTTTTTCATGATTGTGTATGTGTAGATAAAAAAAAAATAGAACTAAAATAAAAATAGGAACAATAAATAAATTGCATTTGTTATCATACGCCTACTTTACTGATTAACATGTATGGAAATATTAAGCAGGTGTTGTGAAAGATACATTCGTGAGACTATAAAAGAAGAAAAAATCTATTAAAGCAATGTGTGTCTTTCCTCTTGCATTATTGTCCTAAATGAATATGTTGTTGTCTTATTTCACTCTTGTTTTAGCATGCGGTAAGAGATTAAATAATAAATTTATTTTAAATTTGAATTGTCTTGTTAAATAGGTATTGCGTTTGCTATTCCCAGTCGAGAAAATACATTACTCGAACGAATGAGAATTCTCGTAAGAAAAATAATTATTAAAAATTTTTGACTTTATTTTGAAAATTAAAAATATAAAGGGTCCATTGGCTTATGCGGATAGTCGTATAGGTTTTACATGTACGGCATTAGAGCCATCACCAACTGTTCCTACTTCAGGTATGAATTCAGCTTTTGTTTACATACAATTTTTATAATTCGACAATTTTTAGTTCATGCTTTACGACCATCTGATATTAAACATATTGCTGCTATTGGTGATAGTTTGACTGTATGTTTGATAAGACAAAAGACAGAATTATTCAATATTTTAATATTTTAGGCAGCTAATGGTGCCAAAGCAGTCACTATTATTGGTCTTCTCATCGAATATCGTGGTGTTTCATGGAGGTACAAGAAATAATATAAAAGAACAATACTATCTTTGCCTTTTAACTACTATTCAGTATGGAGTGCTGCTCAGTGGTAGATTCAGTAGTTTCGTATCTCTCCTAAAATTAATAATAGCTGCAGTTCTTAACAGAAAGCCGGTCTGATGTAGAGTTCTTGTGTGAGCTTCAAATAGCCGTTAGCGACTTTTTAGTTATAGCGATCTCCAAGAGAAATGATATAATTATCTTTTGATTCTATATTTTTTCCAATATTTTAGCATCGGTGGTGATTCTGATCTTACTAAAGTTGTTACTTTAGCCAGTATGTTTATATTTTTTTTTTGCCTGCGTTTTGAAAACTATCTTTGATGTACACTTTAGATATTATTAAAAAATATAATAGAAATCTTAATGGTTTCTCAACCGGTACTGGTAATCAAAATGCAACAAATGCTTTGTTCAATGTTGCTAAACCAGGTGCTGTTTCAGCGTAAGAATTCTGTAGATAGATGAAATAATAGTCTTATTATTTTTTTTCTATATTTTAGTGATATGCCAGGTCAAGCTAATATGTTAGTTAATCGAATGATTGAAAAATTAGGCCCTAGTAGATTCAATTCAGAATGGAAATTAGTAACATTCTTCATTGGTGGTAATGATCTTTGTTCTTATTGCGAAGATACTGTATGTATTTGTAATTTATTAAAAAAATTCATAGATAACTTTGAATTGATTTTATTTGTTTTTATATATAGAGCCGTTATAGTGCAGCAACTTATACAAATAATGTTAAAACAGCACTTGATATATTACATAGTAGAATGCCACGTACTCTTGTTAATTTTGTTACTGTTCTTAATGTTGCTGAACTCGAAGATTTACATGAAGGTGCTGTCTGTCAAAATATGCAACTGTAAGTTTTGAATGATAGAAAATTTTATTTCTAATGTTGTTGTTAAATAATTAATTACTTTTTTTTTTTGTTTGTAGATTTCTATGTGATTGTGCTATTAAGAAGGAGACACGTGAAATGGTTCGTCTTGCTAATCTTGCATATCAAAAAGCAACAAATGAGTTAATTGATTCCGGTATTTATGATACAAGAGATGATTTTACTGTTGTTCGTCAACCATTTATGGAACATATGAAAGTTCCTACAGCAGTAACGAGAGCTTTTATTTTTTTAGAAAATTTTTTTTTTCATCGAAATTTTCTATTATAGTCTAATGGCAAACCTGATTTTTCATATTTCGCACCTGATTGTTTTCATTTCAGTTCAAAAGGTCATGAAGCTGCTGCTGTTGAACTTTGGAATAATATGGTCTGTTTGATTTCTTTTCGGAAAATGATGTTACTTATGATTTCTTTATCTATATATATATAGATGGAAAAAGTGGGTTATAAGACAACTCGATGGGATTTAGCAGCTACGCTCAAATGTCCATCAACAGTGAGATCGCTGTATTTTTTGTCTTTTTGAATTTTATAACATTTTTGTTTCGCTTAGGGCAATGGATACATCTATACATCAAAAAACAGTTAAATATTTTCTTCATATATTGAACTTTTTCGTTTTCAATAAATAAATACCTCACGAAAAAGATTAACAGTTATTCTACGTTGTCGAATTGATCATGAGATGATTGATCATAATTAAATAGAATCTGATATGGTTAATATATTTTTTTCTATAGAGTTTTATTGATTGCATCGATATGACTTCAATATAATAATTGCTTAGGTGGGTGTGATAGTTTGCAAGTTTTGCCTTTTCAAGACAAATAGTATAATAAAAACCTACGCAATTGTTTGATTATGATACACGGGAAAATCGAACATCTGTAAAGCGTTAAATCATCATTGACGAATATTAGAGAATGAAAGAAAAAAATATTTTCATATGCTTTTCGGCAGATTCAATAGTACTTTTTAACAATTGAGTAAAAATGATTATTTCGATTTTGTATGGTAGTCAATTCATTACAAAAACAATTGAATAAATCAAGACAAAAAAAAAACAGAAAAAGAATGCAGTTCGAAAACATGTTGTATCACTGACAGATAATGATTGATATATTTTAGAGCTACAGATGCAATATAAATTTTACTTTTACTATAAATCTGAAATGATTTTCAATAGGTCCTTGATTGACAATTAACAAAGATTGTCCTATTTTAGTTATTTTCGAATCAAACACATATCGATTTTAGTGGGTTTCTAATTCGGCTCTAATTCAAATCTTTCAATCAAGATCAATGAGAATAACAGCTTAAGTTGAGAGTGTAAATAATACTCGTCTCTAGGAAGATGACTATTTACAACAACAAAAAAAACATCAATATATTCCAGACATATGAGAGAGAGAAGAACTCGACAAACCGTAACTAACTATCAAATTCTGTTGTACAATAAACACTTATACATTTATTCTTCAACATAAGGCATAGGCCGAATCTGAAAAAAATATTAAGTTGAAACAAATCAATCAAGGACAAGTTTCAGAGATATCCGTTCATCATCAGAAGTGATAAAACACACATTTATGAAACCTCTAGTATAAATAGTAAATCAATATGCCAGTGACTTCCAAATTATTTCACTAAAAAAAAATTGTCTCATAACTGGAATCGATTTGTGTTCTGTGACTCAGACGCATCAACACTATCAGACTACACCAAAAACGACTGAATTCTGTCATTTTTAACAGATTTCAAGAATATTCATACGTGATGATACAATACATCATGATAAAAAACCTTCAAAAATAAGCCGGTATTAGTTTCTCCACAGCTATCACATGGGAATGTATAGAAAAGCAAGATGATACATAATCATGAATAAAAAAGTAATTCTATAATACAACTACCAAATAACCTTGTGTTGAGCATAACCAAAAAATAAGTATGCCTTAATCCTATAATCAATAAACACATCATAATTGACTCAGGTATAAATGTATATCATCATAATGATACTTATCTTAATCTCAAGCCTTTGTATTGCTTTAAAGTAATTAAGTACATAATAGAGGTCAAAAATTCCAGGGTTATTATAGCAATAAAATTTATATATTTTATTTTTATTTCTTTTCTTAACGACACTCCCCGCCCTACCTCCTACTCTTTTTCAGCTGAGCTTAAGATATGATAGCATGAATTTCATGCGGAACGAACCACAGCATTTATATAGTGCTTCGCGCATTTTTTGCTGTAATTAACTAAATCTGTACTTTATGTTGCAATGTTCTACAGAGCGATAAGTTGCTAAGAATTCTTTAGAACTATATCAAGGAGATAGATGTCTTGAGATGATCCAAACAATTTTAAATCCTCAATATGAGTTTTTGTTCTTCTTCAGTAAGTTCTGCAAAAAACTGATTTTGACGGTTTGACCTTCATCTTTTACCCGAGATCATTAGAATTGGTGAACTATATAGTCTGCAATCAGCTGTTATGAGCAGGAGAAATAATGGAAACCTTCTACCAGACAGTAGCGACTCTTGGTGAAATCGTTTATCGTTCTTATAGTAATTGGAATTCCAATGAGAAAACATTGAGATCTTTCCTCACCGCCTTTATAAGGTCTTTTGCGAATTTTCTTCTTTTACGACCTACGCATCCAAAGTCCATAGTTTGTGACTCGATGATCTCGAGAACAACACATCGTCTGATGCTCATTGAAACATCATTAGACACATTAAAATCTGTATATGGTACAACTTTTGTGCAATTTTCTGTTTCATGTTTCGTTCGTTCAAAGTAAAATCCGGATATTATAATAGTCTATAGGTTATATTTCCATCATGACGATTTTATATAGCGAGACTTGGCGCTAATCTGAGGCTTCAAGATAATTAAAATGAAGACAACAGCAAAAGTTAGGCGCTACTTTATTAACTCATGAATCAGACAGCTGTGAATAGGCTGATTACGAATAATGAATCATGTAGATAATTAAACGGTCATTTGAAATAGCCCTTCAGAAAAGTGTTCATAGGCTTTCATAGAGTTCTCGTGATGATGAATTTTATTATGATACTTTTCAGTTTTGACACGACTTATATCAGCTGATTCGTGAAAAAGTAATTAGTGGAATTCAAATGATGCAGAGAAGTGTCTATGTTCAGTCGTTTGTACACAACTCAAATAGAAATGATAATTACTATTAACTCGACAATTGAATTTTCGTTTTCTACAAAATAGCGTTTTTTTCGAAAATTCGAGAGATTCATGCTTTGCACTGCATTTCGTATTCGAGTTTCGACTCGAATACCATCTAGTTTAGCTTTGTTTCAGATACTGTGCCATCCGTCAAAAATTCAGTAAAACTGTTATAGCTTCAGACCAGTAAACCATAAGCACACATACTTCAAGAGTTTTCTTATTTTCCTGAAACCTGTCTATAGCCAAAATATAAAGCCGAAAGCTTCGATTTAGTTGGAATAGTTCTCTCGTTAGTTGTGACATTATTTAAGAGATTAATAAATATTTACTGGATTTTTAATTTAAAATCTCACTAATATATTTTCATTTTATTTTTATCCGAACGGTCAAAAAATAATAAAACTGATATTGTCCTGAAGAAACTGTGAATCATTTTACAGATTTCATGACTCATTCATATCTATTTGTAATATAGAATCAGACTATTTAATCAGTTTCTGACTTAACCATTCATTTACACCAATGAGTCAATTTAATAAAATTCGAATCGGTTTCGATATTACTAGAAAAAGAACAAGCCAAGAAATGTATCTCCGAGATTAGGAAAAAATACAAAATAGAATCAGTACTGGCTTTCATTATATATTCCATAATTGCAGCAATCATTTTGATTTATAAATGATAAAAATAAAGAAATAAAACTTTTCAATCTATAATCTTATTATACAATGAAAAATCTTTACGTTAATTCTACTCGACTCATTTTTCGTTTAATTAAGTTATGAACGTTTTTCTTCATTTCAATAACTTGTTGAAGACGAATCGTAATGAACAAAGTCGCAACGAAGAACAATGATTCAAAATTAAACAATAAAAGTCGTTACTTAATATACAAATACTGGATACAAATCAACATTTGAGCAATGATTTCGATTCTATATTGAACAAATCAGTGTATATTTTTAATACCTGATCGTTTTGAAATCATCATTATAAATTCAAAAAATAAAGGTATACATATATATTATATAAGCATTCAAAAGCATCTTGTATTTTACAATGTATAATATTACTTCGAAATAATATTTTATTTTCATCTTTCAAATCTTTACTCATCATTACCAAGATAACAAAGGATTCAAATGAAATATTGTGTCTATAATGTTATCATTAATAAATTTCTAATCATGAAATTGTTTATAAAACTATTACCATGTTTTCTTTATTATAACACAGCCTTCTCTATGACTTACAGCATCGTTTTACCACTCCCGATCATCATCAATGTGTCTTATTATTTTTTTTTGTTCTTAGTATTTATCTCATAGACGATTTACAATGAAACTTCGTTGAAAGTTGTCTATGTCATATATCACTATACATAGATGGAATACTACGACAACTAGTCAGTCCAGTGTCGGTATGAGTTTTAGATCCATCGGCCAAGGTTAATCCGGCCTACCCAGATCTATCCTATTACCGGTGATGGTGAAAAAATTTCTTCTAATTTCTGTTATTTTCAATTCTATAGCAATGCTTTTCGTTATCAAATAATCTTGGTTATCGGATAGATATCACTAGAATTGACATGAAAATTCAAAATCAAAAAAGTATCATTAAAATACGAAATATTATTACTCAGTGTACTAACAATTAGTAATGTTTTTTCCAAATGTAATTAATTCTTTTATTACTTTTCTTAAACTATTAAAATAGATTGTCAATAATTTAGATAAATCTAGGATATTAATCAATTTCAATGTGATTAATAAACTTATTTTTTTCGTAATAATCCAATGAAATGATCAAAACAATCGATGGCTCTCGTCTACTGTATTCCTGAGAAAAAGATGCACCTGGATCAATACATAATAAAAAGCGCTACTTGATAAAACAATCTCGTGATATTTGAAAAAAAAAAAAATCTTTTTCTCGATTACAATAGGAATATCATGTGTACTATCAAAATCTTTTGCTCAATAGCTATTTTTCTATTATCATTGAGCAATATTTATTGTGACAAAGATGCAGACATCAAAGTTCTTCAACAAGTAATCGATCGTATGAGTGATGCAGAAAAACAAAAACTTTTTCAATCACTTTTTGAAAATTCAAATCAAGGTCGACAAGATAATTCAAATTGGTGTTGTAATATTGATCCTGGTAATAGATTCTCTTCGAATATTTTAATACTTATACTCTTCATTTTCTTTTCAGGTGTTGAAGCTTCGGCAAGAACTCGTCAAACAACTTATTATGTTCAACGACATGCACGTAACAAATGTGGTTATAGTGATTGTGGTCTATTTGGTTGGGGTAGTTGTACACGTTGGTGTGATACATATTGGTCAGAAATGCAGCATGGTGTTGAAACATATA